CTTTTTGAAGCTGTTGGCCATTGTGGTGGCTGCTGCAGCGGAACTCGGAGCTGTCGCTGCGAAAGCCATGCTTATAATTCGTTTCGGCGGTAAATCGACACCGTCATGTTTCCTGCAAAGGAATTAATCCACCTCCGTCTTGTTTACTAAGCAGTTCTTGCAAGAAAAACCGTTGTGGTTGGCTCTGCCATTTAATAGTGACTGAAAACCGCTGCTGTTGAGAATAGTGGGTTCGTCCATCTGCTCTGGAGCGATTTTAAGTTGAAGCCAGTGAAATCTTCGTGGGCAGAATGTTGTGTTACTTCTTATTTTCCATACAAACTGGTTTGCTGTTGACCTGCATGCATGTCGGCTTTCGATATTTTTTGGACACGTGCGGGGCACGTAGTACACATTTATGTAAATAATTTCTGTGCAACCTTTATTTCTTTATTGCCCGGCGTCAAAGGGCTTTGTTGTTACCTTTCTTGTTTTAAAGTACGAAGAAAATAATTTCATCCAATGATTTGGATTGTGGCTTTCTATGCTTATGCGAAAGGCGGTACTGTGGTTTGATCGTGCCTGCTCATTTGTCTCACAATTGGTGCCTACCTCTACTCCGTTGAAAGGATAATTTGGGGGAAGGCGGGGGAGCGGGGCGGGAGGAGGAGGACTAGTTTTGCAGACTTCAGTTCTCCACATTTCTTTTGGTCGCAGGTTTCTGTCCTGAATCCGCACGAGCTTTTTCGCTTTCAGGCAACTTCGACTAATTCGAGACCGTGATTTTTTATTTTCCTTTGTTTGCATCTGCACGCTAACAGTGCTGTACAAGATTAATAAAAAACGATGTGCTTCAAAGTTTAATAATGTTGTCGCATCCCGGCTTTGTTTCATTCTTCATTTTGGAATGGTTTTTTGGAGTGCCATCAACTTTCGAATAGCAAGATTGCTCGAGCAGTCGGTATGGAGATCCCGTGTCATCGGTGCTACTGGGACGTTCCCACACACCGAGTACATCTGTACCTGGTCTTTAGGCTGCTTGCATGAGTTAGTACCCACCGCCTATTCAATGTGTATATGATATCTCACAAAAAGCGTCCCAAGTGATCGTTCGCTTTCTGTCTAGTATCATTCGCTAATATGCAACTCCCAACGGTTTTCAGTAAAGCAAGCAATATTCCTTGCCAATCGGGTTTCACTTTCTTGCGTGTCGCAATAATATTCCAGAAGCAGTTGTTCTTACGGATGAGCCTGACTGTTTATATGGTCATAAAAGCAATCACCATAACTCGGCTCGGAGGGGGTGGAGGCGTCATACACGACCTGCGAAAAATTTTTCTGGCGATGGCTAGTAGAGTTACTCTACGGCGAATAATGGATTTCGAATGTGGTGGATGGGTGAATGGGATGGGTGTGGGT